TCCCTCCTACCTCCTTCCTTCGTCTCACCCTCCAATTCTCCCTCTTTTTTCGCTCTCCTATCCCCTGTTCCCCTTTTCTTCCACTCTCCTATCCCTTTCCTTCCTCTCACCCTCCAATTCCCCCTCTTTCTTTCACCCTCCTATCCCTTTCCTTCCTCTCACCCTCCAAATTCCCCTTTTCTTTCACCCTCCCCCCTCCTCCTTCTTTCACCCCCCCCCCCCGTAGCCATTACCTGGTGCGGGCAAAGTCATCTGGGATGAAGTTTTTTCGTGGTAATAAAACAACACACCTGGGTTTATTGTTACACGCAGTCGACATCTTCCTTTCTTTATTCTTTTCTTCTCGTCTCCTTTTCTACTTTCTCTTTCTCTTGTTTCTTTTTTGTTCCTGTTCTGTTTTTTCCTTGTTTCGTTTCTTCATTTTCCTGCTTGTTTTCTTTATGAATTTCCCTTTCCTCTCTTTTTATTTCTTATATGGTTTTCCTCTCTCCTCTCTCTCTCCTTTTCTTCCATTTTCTTTTTCTCCTTTTTTGTCATTGATACCTTCGCTTTTTCACCTTTTTCTTAATAGACCCCACAGGATATCATGATTCTTTGCCATTTCTGTTTATGGATTTCTATTGCCTCTGTCGACGAGGAAGCGACCATGCTGATACTGAGTACATCAGTAATAACGTAACCTATGGTAGACTAACGGAATTCTGGTGATGTTATCGAGGTCATTAACCGGATGTTATTTTATTTTCTATATCGGAAAAACGATGTGTCTAAGAAAAAATAGTATTTTTTGCTTGATGAATATAATTTCGGTATAGTCGATAGATGTGACACTATTCCAAGTAGATGCAGATTCAATGAAACAATTTAGGATATAGTAAAAAAAAATCTGAACTGTAGAAAGACTGATAACTAACAATGAATAGATACACTTGCTCAGTGTAGGTATGGGATCTCGCAACTTATGGATGACAAATGTTGCCATACTCGATAGATTTCTTCCATGACATGCATCGCTGTACAATAATCATTATTGGTACATAAATCATAAACTAAACTTGCAATGATTTGAACGCTTATTATTCAGGTCATCATTTAAGAAAAGTAAGTCAAATATGGCGTGTCTTCCCGTAGAGTTTATTTTATTTTCCATGTCATAAAGCTGATCTCATATGAAAAGGGTTCGATCAAGTTCACATACAGGTTATAACACATCAGTTGAACTGCAGCAGATGAACAGTATCCAAGTTCCAACTCTGTGTTTAGGTTTACTCTGCGCTCGGTCTATTAATTCACATTTCGAGGATCAGTCGGTTGTTAGCATGAGAACTGCTCCAGTATTTAGGTATAAAGCAAGATAAAGAACGAGAAAGAGGGGAGTTTGAGAGGTGGAGATAGATAGATAGAAAGACATACAGGCAGAGATATCATACATAAAGGGGAAACGCGTTGAAAATATTGGTATGTTGTGCACTTTATAATTGAATAGTTCAGTGCATGTAAAAAAAAAAAAAAAAAAAAAAAAAAAAAAAAAAACGTTGTCTAGCAACTTATGCGAAGTCCAACTTGGAGTAGATATTGCAGTAGACAAATCACAGTGAATAAATGCACACTTTTACTACAGGTTTGGCACTCTCAACTTATTCCAGATAAAAATAACATAAACCTTATATTCATATATATCTTTTATGACACACGTTCAACATGAATCATCATCTAACACGCGATCTACTATTTCTTATCAAATTCAACAGAATTACCGCCGGTGAAGCAGAGTAGATTAACGCGACGCACTATAAATTACATTTCCCCGTGGAAGAGAAGATACAAAACCACCCGGGTTGACGGGTCGTTTATCTCAGAGTACAATAGACCTACTACCAAGGACGACTTCGCTCGTTTCATCTCAGCCCCTAACGCAACTGAAAGAAAGGTCTGGTTATCGCTTTTAACCTCCGAGCGGCCAGTATCTGGAGGAGGTCCTGGAGGAAGAAATTCGACGTGAGAAATATCTTCCAGCACTTTCGCTTCTCTCGCGGCGGGCTCTTTAAAAGATGATAAACAGGCCTAGGAATGACAGCCCCAAGAGACTAATTATTGCGCATGGGAAGATGACTGAGCACTTTAAGAACCTGTTGGCCCACGCAATCAAAAATACCATTGCACCAGAGAAGAAATTCGGCGACATCATCTAGGAAAAATAGGTCAGACCATTATCAACCTCAGGTGCACCCATTACCCTATGAATGTATGGTCTTATGAACACTTGATGGCATTCCTCGTGGCAAGAAGAACCGAAATAACCACCACCAAAGGCTTCAAGTATAGCCAGTACTAATACACCTCCTTTCACTTCCTTGATTTTCCATTTAGATTACATTGCATGTATCTATATGCAAACATCTCCACTATTCATATCCCTCATCTCTTACACGAACAATATAAAATGTAAACCCAAATCTACTCATATAAATACACTTAGACAAACAAACAGAATATTTTT